CCAGGGGAATCCGAAGCCCTCTTCTGACCTCCACGGCATTGCACAACACGGGTGCACTCAGATACATGCAGGCAATACACTCATACACATAAAATAAAAATAGTAAATAAAACATTAAAAAAAATCTGAGGTTCAAAGAGGTTAAATAACTACAGTTAGTTTGCTAAGGCGCTGACTTGGGCCTGACTTTGAAGCTGTCTTTTCTATACTCTCACACTAGCCCAGGAGAAAAGCAGGTGTATTCTCTGAGTTTGAGGATAATGTCATTTTTGCCAAGCTCCTTCCAAGGTTTTGCCTCTCTCCCTTCCACACTGTGAGGATCAGTGCTACAAACCCCAAACTCTCTTCTTCACCAAGAAAGGCCAACCTGAGTTGGCCATGGTGGCCCACATTTCTAATCTCAGCACTGCAGAGGCTGAGGCAGGAGGATTGCTGAGTTCAAATCCAGCCTGGGCTACATGGAAAGTTCCAGGGCTATAGTATGAAATCACGTTTCTTTAAAAAAGTTGTTCAACTTGTTCCTGGCATGTAGCTTAGTTACAGTATACATGTTCAGCATTCACGAGGCCCTGGGCTCCATCATCTCCACCATTAAAGATTAAAAAAAGGGGGCGGAGAGGATACAGAAAACAGAATATAGAATGGTTCATTTCTTTATATGAATATATGCATTAAGATACAGTGCATTTTATACTTGGGAGAGAGTGATGATAAGCTTTTAGTGAACTGCAGTGACTCAGGACATACATCAAAGAACTGCTGCATTTTATGATTCAGAAAGTACAGTCATTCCAAAAACCAACAGGTCTCTGCAGATCTTAGAAACAGCATTTACAAAGGGGAGCTAGAGAGACAGCTCAGTGGTTAAGAGCATTTGCTACTCTAGAGGAGGACCCAGGTTTGGTTCCCAACACTCATAGCAGCTAACAACCATCCTTAAATCCAGTTCCAGGGGATCCAATGCCCTCTTCTGACCTCCAAGGGCATTGCACAACATGCAGGCAAAACACCCATATACATAAAAATAAATTTTTTAAAATTAAGAAAATGAAAGTTAAAAGGGAAGGGGGTATCTCCCTTGAAATCTCAAACCACAGAGGACTCTTACTTGAAGGAAATTAGCATGGGTCATTGTTTTCTACATCAAATAACACAATATTCTGCAAAAGTCTGTAATCAGCAACATATGGTCCAATTAACCTAAATATTATTTGAAATAACTAAATTCTGGGAGTAGGAATTCTTAATAATGGGTGTGATTTACTTCTCACAAGCTGACTGATAAACCTGGTAGGGTGGCATAGGCCTGTCACGTAATAATCCCAGCACGCAGGAAGTGGAAGGAAGGGGAACAGGAGGAGCTCAAGTATACCTTATCTACATAGTATCGAGTTTCAGGACAGTATGGGCTATATGAGATCCCGTCTCAGAAAACACACACACACACACACACACACACACACACACACACACACACACACACAAACGCTTGCATTGGATCAATGGGTAAAGTACTTACTATATAAGCCTGACAACCTGAGTTTCATCCACAGAACCCATATACATGTGGAAGGACCTCCATGAACTTGTCCTCTGATGTCCAGTGTACACCTGCCCCCATATCAGCCCCACCCCCAAAAAAGAATGCAAAACAAAAACAAGCAAAAATACTCCACACATAACTTATGGAACTAGATGAAAATTCAGATCCTGTATAAGCTAAAGAAAGTCAATCTGTGGGCTGAGGAGAATGACATGAGGACCACAGTTCAGATCCCCAGCACCCATGCAGGTGGCAAGTGAGCACGAAGGTCCATCTTTAATCCCTGTGCTTGGGAACCAGAGATGGAAGTCCTTGGAAAAGCTGACTAGAAAAATGCAAACTCCAGATTCAGCCAGAGACCCTGCGATCCTGCCTCAGTAAAGAAAATGGAGGACAATAAAGACAATGACAACAACTCTGGCCTCACATGCTCAAACACATGGATGCACACCACACACACAC